GCGAAGGCAAGTTTTGTTTTTTTTTTCAATTAAAATTAATAAAGATGTTAGTAAACTAGGAAATCTGGCATTATGGGCACTACTATTTGCGTTTGGTTAATTATTTGTGTAACAGTTTAGGCTTCTATTTTATCTTTTTAATATCAGCAGTCCCAATGGCACACTCGTTCTGATAGGAATATTTGTTGTGCTTTGCTTCGAAAGTTCCATGCATTTGACGTTCTGAAATGCTACTACTCGTGTAACGCAATTTACTGCCAGAAATTCAGTATTCATCGGATCACGTTTTAATGATTACAACATGATGAGAAGTGGAGTGAGGATTATATTAGTGGTTCCAGGTTGCCATTGGTTTATTCATGATGAGTGCTACAAATAAATTGCCTCAATTCTAATTGAGGCTTATTTAATGCCACGATTTGCGTGCTGTTGCTGCATGGATCGATCTTATTCACTTGTAATGGCCATGCTAGGTTAGTTTCGCAATCATGGACTTTGCTTTTAATATTTTAGATTAGTTTGACTAAAATGGTTAAACCGGAATGAAAGTTTTTAGCATCGATCGCCTTACGTTTTCATTCTATGCCTTATATCTGTTTGAGTGTTGAATTAATTTCTCCTTTTTCTTCTTGTTTCATCAACTCGAACTTTTTCTCCTCATCACTTAGTTCATGTCCTAGTCGACTTTGTAACGTGAGCTTTCGATTCTGTGTTCCTTTCATTTCCACGTCATTATGTCAAATTTACGTAAACACTTAATTCAAGTTTGTAAGTAACACATGTGTGTGATTGTTCGCCCAACCAACTCTATTCTTCCCAATTTTAGACTCGAATACGCAATGAGAATTCCGAACAGGCCAAAATACGGGAGATGGCGACGCAGCTAAAAAACGAGAAGGACGAGCGTGAACGTCAAGAGCAGGCCAATTTTACAGCTCTTTCAGCTATTGGCACTTTGACTAACAAGCGACCCCGTCTCTCGATGAACCTGCCAAGCAGTGAACAAACCATAATCACCACTGGTGGTAATCTCAGCAACAATCTCAACTCAGCTACCAACGCTGCTACAGCCACAGGTTCCACTGGTTTCTCCCTTATCAATTCTACATCTTCTCTGCGTTTGGTTCAACCTTCTTCTTCAAGTAATCAGATTTCATCTACACCACGTTTTAATCTCGCCGCTTCGTTACGTGCAAGGCGGGCTGGTTTGCGTGAACTCCAGGTTGTTTTGAACAAGGATAGGCGTCTGTGTCGGTCTCGAGCTCTATGTCGAACCTACTGGCATTGAACGTTCAATCTCTCGTACCGTCGTTTTTTGCTCAACTGGCAGCATACTCTCAGGTGTCTCCGTAGATTTGACTATAAAAAATTGCGGAGTGGTTGTGCCTTACTACAAGGGCTGCTCTCTCTAACTCTCATCATGTACATATTTCTTCACTCAATGCCACACATCTACTTTGTACAGCTCTCCTTGTACACACTTATAAACTCGAGGTTATTGTGTTTTTATTTCCTCACGCCGAGATGTTGAGACGGGTGGAGGAGTGTGCGGTTATGGACAGTGGATCGGCAGTTTCTTTTGTGATTTCCCACACCATACAGTGTGCCCTGCTATCCCCTTCTCCGACCTCAATAACTTTCCTACCCCCTCCCAGCTTCTGTGCTTATTTGTTTGCCGATTATGATGATGTTATAAATGTGTTTATATGGACTGTACATATTATTCTTCATTCTTTACTATTGTAATTGGGTGTGTGGTTTGGAGGTGTGTTTGTGTGTGTGGTGTTTAGTGCTGCTTATTCGTCTACTAATTTTAAAGGGGAGCGTTAGCAGGAACGACGGGTGGAGTTTTGATGTGGCCTCTTATTCAGTTGCAACTAATAGCACCGCGTGTTTATACTTATTTATATCAAATGGCATGCATATTCTATTGGTGGAATCTCTACAGGATTAACTAGAGGCAAATTATGTGATCACGATAGACGAGATAAGGACATTGAATCTTGCTATTGGTGATTTGCATTCATATCAAAGGTGACGGAATTATTGCTCATCGTGTCACGCAAACTAGTGAGCAAGGGTGGGACTTGTTTAACACCGGGAATACAACTTTTTCATCAGAGTGAATGAAGGTACCTTGGTTCTAACCAGGACAGGTACTAGGAGAGAGACAGATATGAAGGTAGATATAAAGGCCGAGGTGAGTAATGTGAAAGTGGTGGATTATGGCATACAGTGGGATCATGGAAGTTTGAAGTCAGAAGTGAACTATCGTTTTATAGACTTTTATACCGTTTGAGTATACGTTGCCCAGGGTGCACCACGTGGAAGTAAGTCTATCTCACACCCCACGCTCGGAATATCATTTGTTGGTTAAAGAACAAAGAATGCGAAATAGTTTAACTACATTTTAGAATAGAATTTCAGCCATTATTCGAGCTCAGTCCTAGCATCATCCTTTAAAGGTAGTTTGAAGGTTCACTAGTTCTAGGAGCCCTAGAACTAAGCGTAAAGGGGAAAATGTCTCTGGACATTCAATTTTTTCCCATTTAAGCACACCCATCAAGAAGCCAATAGCAATGGATCCATATTTCACCCCTTATTCCTAATTAAACCCCATATGGTAGATATTCTGGCAAAATTTTTCATTTAAAGAACGATAAGAATAAGGAGAAAAGCAGTGGAATGTTAGTCTCTAATCAACGGGAGTACACTTCACGTATATCCAAGCCTTAAAGTAAGAGAATAAATGGATTCACTCTCCAACCTCCTATTCGAAATGATTGAATAAGGTACGCCGGCTTAATTGTAGTCAAGATTTGTAGGCAACATTTCACCTGTCATTGTTAGAGGCTATTATTTTAAACGAAATGTTATTTCAGAGCCCATTGATTTAATGGTTTAGGTAGAGGATTGAATATAGCATACTCATCGAAATTGGGACAACTTCAATACGTATTAGCAGTATCATTAAGGAGCAAATTTATTTAATTTAGGTTTTTAGTTTCTTCAAATAAGACCTGCCACTAATTAATTCAAAGATCTGTAACCCACTATTCTTAATTTAGAGTAGCATATTTCCCATACGTCTTCCATTAGCATAACATTATTCCGTAGGTTTTATTGGCATTTACTTCATCAATGTGGTATTCTGTGGAAGGTAATTTCTTGGGGGTTTTATATCGATTGGAGTCTCATACTCAATTGCTATTGGCCACAGTCAAGGTCTTACGTTTTCCTCCTCCCTCCCTCCCTCCCCCCCCCTCTAGCTTTCACACAATTTATGCACTGCTCATCAAGTTACCTTTGTTACTAAGGCGCCCAAACCGCACACCTTTCCCATGAGATTCATCTTTACAGACTCCTGTTTAATGCTTCCCCTCCCCTCCCCCTTCCTCTTTTTCTCCCCACTTTATTCCCACTACATCGAATTTAAGGTGCTTCGAACCATACCTGCGCGCAGATGTTCTCAGATGAGGCCTTAACAACTCAGGGCAACTAAGACAAATTGCCCATCTCAAAACTGAAAAACAAGGGTATCTCCATCCCCCCCCCCGCCCCGCCCTTTCATATTTGTGGCTTGAGTCTCTATAGCCAACGTAGTTCATTTTCACCCAGACACAAGACATGCACGCTTCTAACTGACGGTCATATTAGATATCCCAACTAGTTGATCAGGCGGATGCCAGTTAAAGATAGATATGGGGGTGGGGGTTCATATGAACTTGGGGACGAATTATAAGATAAGCGCTTAATTATAGTGTTAATGACTCTATTTGACAAGTTAATAACGACTGAAAACTGAAAGAAAGGGGTCACTAGATGTCCCTTTTATTTGGCGTCAAGATCAAAGGCGGGTTCATGCCCTCACTTTCTTAAGAGTTCCACCGCACCCCTCCCCCGCCCCCCCTCCCCAGTGGCCTTCATTGCGGTTTAGTCCGTGGCAATAAAACAACGACAGGCGGAATGGACAATATAACTTGTCAAAAAACTATTTCGGAATTTTATAACCTTAGCCCTAAATGTAAAATCGCACTGAATCTCTCAAGTTGGCGTTGATAAAACCAGTACTTCGTGTGGATAAAATGTATTATTGTTTTGGGGAATAGGCGAGGCAAAAAAGTATAATGATCGCTTCGAAAAGTTTGGATGCATTATTTAAGAGACCTCCAGATTAATTTCAACCAGGGATGATGGGAACATTCATTACCTTCCTCCCTAAATCTCCCTCACTTCATCTCAGTGAGTTTTCTTGAAGAAATACGGAGACTTTAAGCATGAAATACGTATACATTTCTTCTGCAAGCAAAATATTTATAATTGATATTGGAAGTAGCGGAAGGATTCAAATTGCATAGTTATCCTTCAGGGTGCTAACACTTCCGCCTTCCCAGCTCCCCACGACTTAGATTCTACAACTCCCATTACCAATGCAACCATTTTCGCCCAATTCCACTTCTTGCTCCTACCGCATTCCTCTCCCCTATTCTTTCTCACTTGTCTGTTGAACGCTTCTCTCACTCGATAGTAGCCACGGCTACTTGTTAGACTTAAGAATTTCATAAGTTCTCTTTGAGTATACCTATCATAATTTGACAGAGCGGGGTGTGCAATAGACTTACCTCCACGTGGTGCACACCGTGTAACGTATTCTCATACGGCAAGAAAGTCTATTAACCAGCAGTTGACTTCTCATTTCAAGCCACAATGATTCCACTGTATATCACATTCCACCACTTTCACAGTACTCACCTTGCCTTTATCTCAACCTTCATACCTGTCTGTCTCTTTTACACCTGAGTATCTCTCTTCTGCCCCCCCCCCCTCTTTCCTCATTTTGAGACTTTGTCTGTTCCTCCCCTCCGTGAAGTCCCAAGTCAGCTAAAGGGCTTACGATAACTATCGAAACGCCTGCCATTTGATAATAATAAATAATTTGACAGAGCTCTCAAGGTGGTTTTAATTTGAATTGGTGCTATTTGAGAGGCTAAAATATCTAACCAAACTACAAAAATTGTGACCTAAGAACTTCACTTTCCTTTTCTTTTCAACAAAATAAAATTTTTATTTTTACCACTTCATCTAATTTAGCTTATTAATAAAAATCGAAATATGCAAAGAGTAAGTGAGCCCTGACTTGTTTCAAGTACCTTTACCAGTTTCATCAACCTTGTAGCGGATTTCTACGCTAGTAAAGCCTGACCGACTCAGAAATCTCTATGGCAGATTCTCCAACATCTAGCTAGACTCCCAGAACAAGCTAAGCTATAACCCAGCTATAAGGGAAACAGACGTGTAGCACGGAATACGTTTATTCTGTACGTATATTGATAGCCAATTGAGATTTTGGAAAAACGATTAGTTATCAGATAACTCTAGCATAATTCGTGTGAACATTAATAGCTAAATATTTCTGAGTAGTGTTCTAAAGCAGGATTTCTATTTGGTCATTGATGAAGTGTCCCATAACCTCCTCAAGGACATAAAAAGATTCAGATTGACTTAAGCTGGTCTCCGACAATTCAATTAAACAACTGGCCAACAACCCTTTAATTCAATTAAAGTAGGCCTTAGGCAACTCAGCTTTGATTCGCGCTTGTTTGAATTCTTTTTTCAGTCCATAATATGTGTTATTAGGGTATTTCGTACTTTTATATGTTATCCCACAATTAAAAATAGAAAAGAATAATTAAAACTGAATCCCGCAAACACAATTGGAAAGGAGAATATGCGGTCATTATATTTTTTGGATTCATTCCATTCATGTCACAAATTGGACATTTAAAGTTCAAATATCTTACAATCAAATGACTTTTCCTTAGAGAAAATATCTAATAAAAATTGTGTCCTAATTAGGATTGAGTGTCGGCTACTTGATTTTAGGCATAACAGTCATCTTGTAGGGCTATTTATCAATAGTCCGCAAGGCACTAATGTATACCTAGAAGAGATCGACAACAAAACAACAACAATTAGTAACAAAATAAGCATAAATTGACTTAAATATGTTTCCTTATTCAGGCAGACCACAAAAAATGATGTTGGTATGAAA